ATTAAAGGAGTTCATGAGAGTAAAAATTAGTTGTTCTGGTTGTTTTCTTGTTCAGTTTGATCAAGTTGTTCAAGTTAAAGTTTGTGTTATTGGCCATAAATCGACACCATGAGTGAGAGGTATGTCCTGGTGTGTGAAGCTCGACTCCGTTACACTTTTCTACTAACTACTGAGTGTTAATGCAACACTATGAAAAGTTTGATTTTAACTCTTGAGTGTTAAATTTATGCTCTCAAATTCATGGTGTATTGTCATTTTAAGCTGTATGTTAACTTTACAAACTCCACAATTTCCTTTGTTAATAATAACAATACACTAGTGTTACTTTTAACACTATATTTTAACACTAACACTATTTTTATGTTAATGTGACACCAAGTATTGTTGAATATTAAACACTGGTTGTTGTTAAAATAATAAAAAATGGGTGTTCAAATTTAACAGAAATGTTATTTTAAAACCAGCGAGTGTGGACACAAATAGACACTTTGTTGTTGTTGAAATTAACACTGTGGGTGTTAAATTAACACTGACATTTTTGCTATGTAGATGTCTCTACCTATATTGTACAAAATCAAAACATGATTTTGTCATATGGGGAGGTGGGATATGGAATATGCTCACAGTCTGGTGATGCTTGTTTGTGTGAAGGTCCAAACAAGAGGAATGAAGGAGCCACAACGAGCAGAAAGGCAGAGACAAACCGAGTGAACTCAGGTGGAAGGCTGTCAATAAATCTGTTTGTCAGGCAGCAAAAGGCAGACCTACAAACAGACAATGCTTCAAGAAGAAGAGCAAGACGGTCGTTTGACACAAACAGCTGTGTGTTTGTGTATCTGTGCTGTGAGTTCCCATGGCAAACAATGCTACAGCAAGGCACAACAGCAGCAAAGAGCTCATTATTTCCAGCCAACATCAGGAAAACTAAATGAGCTGTTTGGGCCAAACACACAAGAGCATACAGAGACAGAGACAGGTCTGCAGCTGAATTACCAGCATGTTTACACGATGTTTATGTGCATTAAGTTGTTTTATTCACTACAAACAATGGAAGCTCCTGCTTAATGTTAGACATCGCCACTGCCCTGCAGCTTCTCTACACTGAAGTGTAAACATGTTAAGATTAGTGCCCAATGACAAAAGGCAAAGGTGGACTTTAATGGTTTTGCATGTGTCTGTCAGCAAAATATCTCATGAGCCACTGGATGGGTCTGAATGTAATTCTTAGTAGATAATTACTGGATCTACGACTGATTTACTTTGGAGTCCACCTAATTCAAGACGGCTGCCACAGCTGATCAACCTTAGGCAATATTTAGTCTAATATACAGACACTGGGCCTCATGTTCGTATTCTTATCCTAAATTTCTCTTACTTTTGTTCATACGAACATGTCACGTCAGATTCAACAAACTCTTCTATCATCAGGAAAAGTGTGTAAATGAGCTGCGTAAACTGATGAATGTGCATCAGCTACTCGTGCACGAGGAGATTAGCATAATTACCACACCATATAAGGCTATGTTTCCTGCCCCACATACCAGGAAGTGTACATTTATAAATGACATCACAAAGTAAAACAAAGAACTTTAAGAGTTCGGAGATTGAAGCCCTGTGGTCAGAGATCCAGAAAAAAAATCTGTCTTTGCTAGCAGCATCAGCTGTGGAATTAAAGGAGCTGCTAAAGTCGAGGAATGAAATGACTGCTGTTAATGTTGTGTCTCCTGTGGATCAATAAAAATATAAATCATATTCATCTCTCTCTGCTCTGGTTTTTCTTTGGTCATATATTTTTAATTTAAGTGTAAACAAACACAATTTACCTAATTTCCCTCTGGGATCAATAAAAGTATTTTTGAACTGAATTGAAACAACTGAGTTACAGAATTTTCATTTATTCAGAAGGGCAGTCGCGCACTGCTTCCCCACCCCCACCTACCCCCCGCCTGCTGTCTCCCCCCTCCTGACCGTCGCAGGTGTCAGTTGCATTACTGAAAAACGTATTTTAAAACATCTCCAAACTTCAATTAATGCATAATTTAAGTTGGTTTTTTTAGTTTGAGATCTTCATATCAATATTGTCGTGTTATACAACAGTATTGATAGCCAATTTAATTTAATTTAACCAATTTATGTCATTAGTCTACATTATTACATTTAAAATTATAATTCCAGTTCAAACAGAATAGCCTAATGCCAACATAATTATGGAGTGTGATTTATTTTCAACTTAAATATCTTCAAACTAATAAAATATAAAGTTATTAGGGAAGAAAACCCATCTGGATAACAGCAGACTGACTGCAGATAAAATATACGACAGGTCTGGACCACTCGTGAATTTTGTTCGTATCTGAAAAAAATGTTACGAGAAACTTGGTGAATGCCACAAATTCTCCTAAATCACTCGTACGCACAACTTAAGAACAAATCTGTTCGTAAGAACAGTTCTTGCATGAGGCCCAATGAACTAAAATTATTTGTGGTAGTAGCAGGGAGTAATTCACAACACTCAGTGTAATCATGTTTTGTGAGATCTCGCAATAATACATGAGAACGTACATAAAGTTATTTTATCACTGCTTGTACTTTCATTTCATTTTATTATATAAAAAACCAAAATGTACATTTTCTTTTTATAGAAACACAGTCAGTTATCAATGAAAATCAGGACTTTCCTCATCATAGTGAAGACATCATATTTTACCTTTTACCTTTGTACTCACCTTTGCAACCTCCCCCACATGTACACTTTAAAACACTTCTAAAATGTGTTTTTTAGATATTTACCATTTATCATTGTTGTGGTTGTAGTTAAAACAAGTACACACACACACACACACACACACA